AGCCCAAATCTATGTTAGACTAAAGACTATACCTGTAAACAGCCACTGAGATCTAAATGTTCTAATTTCTTATTACATTTCCCACTAGCTAGATATTGTAGACCACGATCTGAGAATTTAGTACAAAAAGCCAGACTTAAAAACTGTAGATTATAACAATATCTGAAATACAGAATCATAAATTTATTTATTATCTATTATTTGATAAGTTTGATTTTTCTTGTTTGGATTGAGTACCTTAATGTCTTAATGCCAGTTTGATTGTAGCATCTGTCTGAAGCCAGTTCAGGAAGAACAGAATGAAAAACGGGGTTAAACCTGGCTATGTATGTCCAAGATTCTTTGCCTCTAATCAACAGCAGTTGGCCAATTTTGATTATCTGACAAACCAATGGTTAAACCTAAAAGTAAAGAGCTTCACCCTAGAAAACACAAGGACACTAGGCCAGTGCTTTTATGAGACTATGTCCTCATCACCATCTATGTCCTCATCACCATCTAACACAATGTTTTAACTGGGTAGATTTAGCTTTACAGAAACTGCTGAAGGATGCCAAATATTACTACTCTTGTCCCAATAAGGTACAAACCTGTCCATTTTAATTTCCAGCCCATGACTAAATGCTGATATACTTACTTGGCTATAGATCTAAGTGAAGCATCAGTTATACTGGTATGTGAAATATTTAAATACAATAAAATTTGACATCCTTTAACAACCAGACTTAATAAATCATCCTAAAAAATAGAGAAAATAATCATTCAAATACCAAGTATTTCAGTACACACTGGCAATAAAATAAAACAATGAATAGCTGCTGTCCTAAAACATGTTGTGGTTACCATTAAGTCTATTTTGAAAGTTAAAGACACAATTAGTCAATTTCACTTTTTACTAGAGATTACAGAGGCCAGGAGGGAAATAGTTTTATGCCCAATAAATTTCTTATGAAACTTGGCCCTCTGTTGAGCTGTCCAGATTTCAAAAAAGGTTTTCCTTGCCTATTGACAATCTGGTTCAGTTCTCAACCACAAGAAGCTATGTAACATTTAAAAAATTTTAATCTGCCAAAACCACTCACATCTAAAATTTGACATTCTGACATATTCAAATCTTGTAAATTCCGACATTCACTAATACTGATAAATGTTGGCATGGTGATGAATCGAGCTGCTCGTAGATTGAGGTGAATCAAATATGGCCGTGCTTTATACAACAGTCTAACACATACTTTATCAGTTACTCTGAAAAATATAAATATCTTGGTGAAAATATCTGTTTTCAAATATGACCATAAGAAAAATCAAATGAAATGCAAGAAGAATAAAAGAAACTCTAGTAAATGAAACGAAGGAAATAAACTTATAGCATGAAAGCAAACATTATAACTTGAAAACATGATAACAATAATAATCTTTATATGTATTCTGACATTGAAATCACAAGCAAATAAAAAGGTGATAAAGAAATAAAATAATGTTTATATAAAAATCAAAGCAGAATTATTATATTGGGAAGGTAAAGCTATAATAATTTCTCAATATAAATAAATCAAAAATGTTAAATTTAAGCTAGGCTTAAATTGACTTGTATCAATATCTTAAAATAATTAGACTTAATTTGATGTTTCTACTCTAATACTTAAACTTAAACAATAATAACTAAACAATAATAACTAAACAATAAAAAAATAAAATTCTCCTGAGTTAATGATCAAAATATTTTAATAAATGAAATTAATGGATGTTTTATAGTGGTGTTAAATAAAAGAAATATCATGTCCTATTCTGCTGGGCCCCGTTCCACAAAACTTCTTATTGTATCGTGTGTAGATTTTACTTTGAGCAATACCATACTTATAAAAAAAATAATTGTAAGATTTTATGTGTAACAGAGCCCTGAATATCACAGAGTGATTGGAGAAGGGCAACAAGGAGCAGTAGCTAATGAGGGAAACTTTTGTCAGGACAATATTTAGCGCTAGTCTTACTCAAGACAATGTGAGTAAGAAGAAAATGTTGCATAGATGAAAAAAAAAAATATTTCTAGCCTAAGTTATGAAATGTAAAAGAAGAAAATAAAATATAATATGTATATCATATGAGGGTGTTAAAATTCTGCTCAGTAGCCTACTTAATAAATTTACCCAAATTTTAATCTGAAAACCAAAATATCTGATTAGTAAAACGTAAACAAAAACATCAAAAGCTCTGATAAGCTCAAAATAAAAATAAAGCAATTTCCAATAAAAGAAAAACAAATCTAGAGAAACTCAAAATAGCATTAAGTTCTGTTTTAACTTAAAATTCACTCATAATGTCTAAGCTCTTTTATATAAAATAAACCAAAACATTGATTATCTCTAAAATGAAGCTATATCCAGCAAAATATCAAATAAAGCTTGGCAACAACTTTGAAATAATCCTAAATTCTCTAATATCTTATTGCTGCAATTGGATTTACTGAAATAGCATTAAAAACTATCAGAACATGTCTTTGATGACACCCTCAAAACTCAAACTAAAGCAATAAAACAAAATTTATGAAATATCAAAAAAACCTACCTTCCACGGACATTGTACAAGTCAATCTGAAAATAAAATAACATTTAATCCATCAGCCTTTCAATATAGTGTTAATAATAAGGATAGGGAAAGAGAAGTGTTCTAGAAGAGAGAGTAGGCCCTGTTTGTAAATAATGCATCGATTAAGAACATGTCCAAAAATGTCCTATAAGTGATACTATGTCTTAGAATGAACAAAAGATTTAAGAATTTTAAACTTAAGGAAAAAGAGCCATTGGATATACCTGGTGTCATAAATAACATAACAGGATCCTTATATAATCGATAAATCCAAAAAACTTAGTAATTATCCATAAATATGCAATTAACTCTTGAAAAACTCTAAATATCAAGATTAAGCGTTTTTTCAATAATTACTTACTTTTATGAATTTTCCAATTTTCCAGATTTTACAGGGATTCTGTTGTAACTTTATGACACAAGGTAAGTTCACTGATGAATATATAATCATATTGACCATTCTTGAGAATTAAATTGTATGTTCATTCTAAGACGTAGTATCCCTTTAAATTATCATTAAAAAAATATGCTAAAACCTTACCCTACTCCATAAAGAATTAGCTTGAGTTATAACTTTCCACGATCGGCAAACACAAGCACAATTAGCAATATCAGCCATGTCTAAATGACTGAAAATCTGTAAAAATGAAAGTAGATTAATTGAAAATAGCCTGGTCACAATGCAATAGGAACATGTACATCTCAGAAATTTGACACATTTAATCAAATTTATAATAATTAATATAAAGGGGAGAAAAATTCAGCAATAGATTTACACTTAAACCATTCATCAGATATTTGTCCACATTTTTCAATCTTTGTGTCAATTCCCAAGTCAGGAAATAAAGGCATATAAATCAAACCAGTTGCCTAATCGATGCACAGATAACTGTTGCCAACTTAACACCTTCATCTTTTGAAAATTAACTTTGATGGGTATAAATTGGTTTCACCATATAAAATATTCTTAATTTGAAGAGTATATTACACAGAATTGAGACTTAATCTACTTATTTGGAATTTTTACCTTTACAGCAACTTTTCTAGGTAACATAGAAATACTGTCTCTAGCTTCACCAGACCCATGTCCAAAAATATCTTCCTCTTCCATATGCTCTCCCCTTTCCAACCTCTGAAAATTAGTTGTATCAATGGTAAGCTAATATACATTGTAATTTATTTTCAAAATCAAAGTGAACTTCGTATTAGTAAAATCATATTTCCAATGTATTTAAAATGTCAATTTTATCAATTGCTGTTTTTGATTCTGCATTTTCATCAATCAAATTTTAGATATTAGTAATATATCAAATTTGATTGAAGGAAATATTTTATATATCACATCACATTTTCTTTTGATCATTCACTAAATGACATTCCTATATCTTGCCTAATGTTTCAGTACTCTTCCGTTTCTATTCTTTTTTGCTGATCAACACTATTGTAAACAGATTAAGTCAAACTGCTGACAGTAAATTTAATAGCAATATCTATGATTTAAAATAAAAATCAACAGTGTTATTAACCACTTCAGTTCACTCAAGAGATTAGAAAAAAATGGAAGCAAAAATTAAACATGCTCAAAATTCCCCACCAGGTCACCACCATATTCTAATCTAAGCTCTAGGTATAAAACTGGGAAACATCAATGATTAAAGGGATATAATAACATAATTCAATGACTGTGAACTAATAAAAGGGATGATGTGAACCAAAATGGTCGATATAATCATGATATCATAATTATGCATGATATATAAACATCAGGAGTTTTGTGATACAATGTAATGGGTAATAACCATGCTCTAATTAGGGATAATATAAAAGTGGGTAAACGGTAATTCATGATTACTACAATATCAAAATTAGAAGTTTTGTGATATTGCGTTGTTTACACACACACTGTGATGATCTTTCTGTCCTGGTTAACAGACAACATGATATTTTTCTCTAGAGTCTATTCAATGAGTAATGATAGTGCTCCAATCATAAGGGTAAACAGAAAGGGTCAAAATTATTAAGAATTTAAAATTTTTGGATTTGTGATATTGTGTTGTTAACACACACTCTGTGATGATCTCTCTGTGAAAATTATTATTATTATTACAATATCCATGGCAACAAGATATAGAAACAACAGACATTGTTGAGATTGGTATCTTTACTGGATTCTATCTCCTGAAATTAATTAATAATCTATCAAATTCATCTAATAGATTTATAAAACATTAATTTTTTACAAGGATAAATAATGGCAGGGTTCTGAGAATTCTGTCTACAAAGTTCCACAAACAGTTGGCACTGATCTTTACAGATCTTCTGCTCCATTTACAGCTGGGTTGACTAGATCAAAAAATATTTTTATCTCATCCCCTCTCCCCCCCCCCCCTCCCCCCCCCATATTTAAAAAACTAACTAGTGCAAAACCTTTTCAGTAGCTATAGAAATGAGTTTAAAAACTAAAAGGGTATAGACTTAAGGATGCTGATTCGGACAAACTCTGTTTCTCACGTAGTTTTGTCATTTTGAATATTTTTTCATCTGTTTCTTCCTTCAGTTCCTACAATTTGTCACAGAATCCATGAAAGTAGATTTTCCCCTTTTTACGTGACCAGAATACATGATTAATAGGCCTAAACCAATGAATTATTGAACACATATGAAAGTTCATCACTGTTTAACTTATAGCAATAAAATCCCCACAAATTGGTGAAAAGCAATGAAAAGCTCTAAATGGTAGCGTAACTATAACTTTATTGTCTAATTGTACTTGAGTTGCTTAATAAGCAGAGCAGTCTAATTGACTAGATTTCAATCTGGCTACGGAAGAGAAAATACATGTCAGAAATGGTAAAAAAATACTAAAAAAGACAATTTTTAACATACAAGCACTGTAAGAATATAATTTTTAACGCTATAGAACTTTTTTTAAAATTGGGAAGTATTTCTATGAAGCAATGGAGGAATGTAGAATGTAGAACCTAGAAATATTCCTACCGTCAAATTACCCTGTTAAATGAAAAACAAACAAACCAACTTTTAATAGAATGTATCACAAAGCATCTCTTATTTCAAATTTTAGACGGGATCCCAAAACCGCTATTATTCATCTTTCAACTTATTTACTTAGTTTAGTTACATGAGTTTATTTTTATAAATTGGAAATGTATATGTTATTGTTATCTATTCTAGAGTATATCATGTACATCATTATGATACTAAAACAGAAGGGTATGTTGTATTGTTTAAATCAGTATGGAAAGACCACATAAAGACCATTGAATTAAAAATTCATCAGTCAACTGCATTAACTGGGGTTTAGAAAGCAGTTAATCAAAACACACAAACACACACAAATAAACAATATACAATATTAACTGAAAATAATAGAATTGTTTGTCGAGCCATAAGACCAAGAGAAAAGAGTCTCTCACATGTTATCAGAAATATTAATAGACCTTATTCACATGTCAGCCATATTGAATCCAGAACGAGGCACATAACGCAAATATTGAAAAGGTAACATCATTAAATTTGGAATTGATCAAGCTATTTAATGATACTTTAACATGAATTTAACCTTCACACATTTCTGAGAAAGTGGCTATTCATTCACATGACGTTGCCATCTTATCAATGGATGACGTAATTTGCATTATGAACCCCACTTTCAGTATCTCAAAAACGAGACAGGAATAAGGTCTATTATAGAGGAAAGGAAATCATCACCAAAATTTTGAGAGAAACTTATCTACTATTACTGACCACTGTATACTAATAAAATGATTGATATGAAAATATTATTGATTAGATATATATGACATAAAACAGATCACATGAATTATTCATGATATATAAACATAAGATGATCTGTAGTCTCCCCTTGTTCCAGATATTTTTCATAACGGTCAGACAAATTTCGGGACAAATTGAGTTTATTCAGGAGGGAATCTTCATAAGTTCTCCCAAGTGCACCTTATTCTTATACCTCTATAAATATCCATAGAGGTTCTGACTTAATTATTATACAATATCAAAGAAATTTACTCCTATATCACTTATATTATTATTGTATGATATAATATGAAACGAAATGGCCTACCTCGAAGTATTCTCTCTGTCGTTTAGCATCAATAGTATGATTAAACCAGGCATCAAATATTACTCTCCCTATTGCTATATGATAGATATGTTGTAACTTCTGATACACCACTAAAATATATAGAATATAATATTAATAACAGTAATAATAATAGTTTACTTATACTGCAAATTACTATTGTGTTCTCGATCAATATATTTCTAAAGATGGAGGAAATAGTAATACTCAGGCACTAAAATGAGCTTATACAAGAAAGTTTTTAGGTTTTTCTGAAATATGTCAATATATTAACCTATACCCAATAATACCATTACTCAATAGATTGTCAGAACGTTGACCAAAGTACCATCTTCTGGATCATAAAAGATTGAAGATATTATTTTCTTTAGGTTTCTATGTCTATAATATTTTATGTTACTTACATTTTTCGGCAAAGTAAAAAAGAAAACAATAAACTAGGATTGTATTGAAATCCTTAATAAAAAAGAAAAAGAGCAAAAACCTAAAAAAAACCTGGGAAATTAAATAGAATCTAGAAATCCAAGACTCAATTTACATTTGAAATAAAACCTATACTTACTGGCTTGTCTCCCTTTCCTATATCTCACCCAATCCTACAAAATTTAAAAAAATAAATTTGTTATACTCCAATGAATAAATCAGAGTTAATACTGAAAATTTTCACAGCTGAGCATGTCCATCTTTCCCTTCACAGATATTATAGAAAAACTGACAAGTAAAGTTAGGTGATAGATAAGAGCTCAAATTGATTTTTGCACAGATATCAGAGAAAAATCTGAATTCAATTACAATTTTCGAAAATTGAATTTTACCTTCCATGTTTGAAAATTGACTTGCAGTTTTTGAGCGATATATTGCTTTTCTGCTAAATATAACTTTTCTTCTGTCAATCGAGCTTTTTCCATTTGACCCAGATGAAACTGCATCCATGCACTGAAAGAAAAGTGGTAATAATTAAACCATAAAAAACAGCCAATTTCTTATATTTCTATAAGATGAGAATTTTGGAAACCTTTTGGTTCCCATGTCAGTTCAACAATTTTCATGTCAAATAAATTTTCTACCCTTATCATCTTTACTGAATTAATCAAATTTTACTCACTTGAAACATACTCTTTTAAGTTTAGTATTATACTTAGTATAGGCCTTTGTGTACATCTCAGCTGAGGGCTACAAAATAAATTTCATATTCAATAATTCTTAATTACATCTTAAAATTGTCACATCATTTTTCATTAATCAGATGTTTATTTGCAAGACACTTTACTTTATGGCAGTAGAATCTTGAATTAAAGAAAAACGAGAAATTTAAGGTCACATATCTATGACCTTGATTTATCTCTTTGAGGAGCTGATTTATAATTCATATTCCACCTTGAAAAGTTAAAAAAATTTAGAAAGCAGGCTAAAACTTTACTCACCAAAGTATTTTCATCAAAGTTAAAAATATAGTCCAAGTTACTTTCAGAGACAATCCGTCGTGGTGGTCGATATCCATCGGGGATAAATAAATCCCTGAAATTAGTCACGATTACCTGATTCTTGCAATTAAACTATAAGAAATAGTTGCACAAAATAAGCAGGCAACATCAATTGTTTTTGTGATTATAAGTATAAATACCCGTATATGAAATAAACTTCAAAGCAATGACATTTCCGGAATAAAGGCTGAGCAACACGGTAATGCAGTTTGAGCTCATGAAAATCAAACTAGTATTGTAAACCATTTCAAATTCAACTTACCAAGCCAGCTCATGTTTACCTACTTCTTCTAGTTCATCAAAACATTCTAATATAAATTTCAGTGGATCATCAGGACAAACGACTGCTAGACCAGTTAATAGAGCCTAGAAAAATAAATCAGAATAACTTTAAACGAACAATTTTATCATTATCATTACCAGTGGCTTTGACTAATTGAGTTTTCTACATTTATCTAGACCAGATCAAAGTAAAATGAGCTTTACCATGGCTGTCAATTAAATCATTGCAACAGTTAATTTAAACTACACTCCTACCATGCAGTAAACATTTTTTTGAGCTAACAGTAACTGTTTCAGAGTGACATCCAGTTTAAGAATTCATTTTGTGAATATGGACTATTATTTAAAATTTCTATCATTCTATGTATGGTTAGAAACAAAAATCAAAATTTAAATTATATTCTTAATGAGGAGACAGGGCTAAGCACACTTTATTAGACTTAGTATTAGTTAAGGAGATTCACCTCGTACAAGTCTGGTAGTTTACTGATACGAAGATATCGCCTCATTTCAGGATCCAGTTCTTTTAATGCTGCAGCCATCTTGAATATGAAATGTGCAACAAACTTCCTGGAATTGTCCAAAGAAACCTAGTATTCTAGAAACTTTTTTCGGAAATCAAAAATTCGTCCACTTAGAGCAGCCATATTTGTTTTTATTAGCAACGAAATAAGAGTAGCTTCCCTTTAAATTCTGAAATTTGTACACAGCTGCATTTATTTCTATACATTTTCTCTCTGAAAACAAAAGAAGTTAAATGCCATCTTGTTCAAACTTCTGCTCTCATAATATTTTTTAATTAAATACAACAACTGAATATAAATTTCTAATTCTTCGTTTTCTTCTATCTAAGCAAACTTTATTTTTTGGAAATTTTGGAGGATTCTGGGATAGGCATGTTGTCCATGTTGTGACGTCACCAAAGCTGGTGCGACGACGAAACTGACGTGGCAAAAGAGAAAAATTTATATTTTAACACCAAACGTTGATTTGTATACATTTATTTTTTGACAGAAGTTTGAGGGACAATTTAACCTTTGCCCTTGTCAAAATTTCATCATGGGGTTGGCGATTTCGTCTGTTTTTACTCGCCTATTTGGCAAGAAACAAATGAGAATTTTGATGGGTAAGTGCGACTTCACCAGGAAACTTATTTGTTCTTTATCAACGACAATTGTGTTCGAGTACAGTATTATATTTCTTATAGATTAATGTTTTATGATAAAAATTTTCATATGGACTTCACCAGTTTGTTCTTGGTGTTACCTGATCCATGGTGAACACTGGAAGAAGTTTTTTGCCACACCCCTAGAATTTTGCATTCTTCTTCAATAGCAGACTATAGATTATTTGTAAAGATATATTGGTACCAGTACCGATATTGAAGTAAAGTCTGTCTGCTTATGGGCAAGAAGTTCTTACTAAATCGATTTAGAATATATTAGATGCAAACCTTCATTACATTGGGTTATAACTAAGTCCTTCAGATTGCTGGATGTCAACTTCATCTGTATATTTTCGTCTTTTGTATTTCAGTTGGTCTTGATGCAGCTGGTAAAACTACTATTTTATATAAATTAAAATTAGGTGAAATTGTAACTACAATTCCTACTATTGGTAAGTAATTTGTCTATGAGATATGTTCATAGATATCTATGAAGCTTACTGATCAGTAATCATTGTGGTATTGTGTTTTAGTCGAGTTGTTTTTTGGAATTCAGCAGGTCTAACAAGTAGTAGTGGAAGCATATAAAATGTATATGATGGTAGTGTAGAAACATATTAAAACAATAAGTTAGTTGTATGATATTTGACACACCTCATAACTTCATTGAATTCTTCCAAGTCCACATTTATTGTTTTACAAATATTCTGAAGTAAAGCAAAACAGGGTACTGGATAGGAGAAGATATGTTAATTTGCCAAGCTAGGAATACTTCATGTTGTCTGTAACATTATTTGCACCTGTTAAACTGTGATTGACAGTAGGACATTAACACTGTGCCATCTGTTACAGCCTAATTATCACAATTTGAATTTATTATGAGCAGGCAGACACTTTCTCATAGCTATAGGATTAAAACTTTATAAGAGTTCAGTTGACACTGATCTAACTAGTATTGGAGGATTAAAAAAATATCTTGTCAGTTTTAGACCTTTGTATGCAAATTTAGGTATGGTAATTCAAGTAGATTAACAGCATGCTATTTGTAAAGTAACAACAGTACTTGAGTTATTCAGTTTGTTTATTTTTGCTACAGTTATATATTTTATATGTTCATCCTTTTTATTCCCAGGGTTCAATGTTGAAACAGTTGAATACAAAAACATCGGGTTCACAGTGTGGGATGTGGGAGGACAAGATAAAATCCGACCATTATGGAGACATTACTTTCAGAATACCCAGGGTTTGATATTTGTTGTTGACAGTAACGACAGGGAAAGAATTAACGAAGCTCGGGAAGAATTAGAAAAAATGGTGAGTTGATAGCACGTTTCTTCATATGGCTGTAGCCTTCATAAAATCTGACATTATTCTTTTTATCAAAATGAGTTTCGCAAGAATTTGTCGCGTATCAAAATTTCTGAATTGTTCTAAAAGAAAAGACAAATTGTCATTGTGTAGTATTTTTCTGTCATATGGACATAACATGTTGGTATTGTGAATTATGATGGTTAAAACCAATTGATTTTTACTAATACTAGATGGGTGTGACAGTCATGATTAATAGTAGTAGGTCAGATCTCTACAATAGTTTATAACATTTTATTTGATTAGTGCTGACAGGGCATAGTTTTAGCCTCTGATGAGATAATTATTTTGTTTTGGGAGTAAACTATTATGACCTACATGTAGATGTTTGAACCCAATAAAATTCCAGTTCTCTCCCTCAATTATCAAGTATATGATATGTATTTTAATCTTCAAATTCTTTTGAGTAGCCAGCCTAGGAATAATAATGCTCACAATAGTATTGATTATTTCAGTTATCAGAAGATGAACTACGAGATGCTATATTAATAGTTTTTGCTAATAAACAAGATTTACCTAATGCCATGCCAGTGTCTGAAATCACAGAAAAACTAGGTTTAAATAGACTAAGCTCTAGAAAGGTGAGTTATCAATATTAGCTTATGGCATCTCTAGAGTCAATCTCATTGCAATCTTTGCGAATTTGAATTTTTGAAGCAGAATACACATTTTTATGACCTACAATGTTTGGGACATTGAAAATGAAGCCTGCCTTAGGTTATGATATTCTTAAATATTGTTAACATGTTAATGTTTTGTTATCTGACACAGATTATTTAACAAGCCTGAAGGCTAGGTTTTTCAAATAATAGATTAGGTTTATGATAACTAGTTCATTATTATGAACATAATCTTAAGGATAATCATTATATAACATGTTGTAATACAATGACTTACATCATTCTGTACACAAAATACACCATGATAGATATCATTAGATGAGTGATGATATCTTAGTATGTATAAAACAAAAATAACTTTCATTCTTGTTAACTCAAGTGGAGGCACAGAGGTTGATCAGGTATTCCCAAAAAATGCAGTCCCTATTCTCTTTAAGCAAGTAGGAGCTGTTTGGCATAAGATTTGAATTTCCAAGACTTCAGATTGGAGACTAAGTAACAAAAAATAATTTTTTCGTTTTTATTATTTTTCAGTGGTATATTCAAACAGCGTGTGCTACACAAGGAACTGGTTTATATGAAGGTTTAGACTGGTTATCCACAGCTTTAGAGAAAGCCTAGATTATCCAGTGACTTTCTAAATGTATTTATGTGTTTTGGGTCTGTTGAATCTTGTGTGGCCAAAAATCATCTCAACATCATCTAACAATTGCCACAAACTTAAGAAAAATATTGCCTCCACATTAAAATGTGGGCGCTTATAAGATGATGTGAGTTACCTCCCTGGAAAATAAAGTATAATCATCATGCTCATTCCTGCCATTCCAAAGTCCAAAGTTTGAACAGATAAAGTTATCCACAGGTGTAGTCAGAATTATCTCTTTGCTCCAACTATTATGCCAGATTTGTACCTCTCTCTTATTAAAATAGAAGTACTGTCTGCTGGAAAAACAGATCGCAGGTACTATTTGGATTTTGAAAGATTCAGTTTTAAGGTTGAAGTTCAAATTTAAATGTGCTGATAAAAAGAAGAAACCTCAATTACAACTTGACAACTTTCTGTTATATTCTACCAACATGGCAGGTCAATGCGGGAACAATTTAAAAGATTCAACGAGACCATACAAACACGACGTTGTTAATATATCTTTTTGGGATTGAAGATGTCTGGGGATTAGAATTTCATCTGGGATAAGAATTGTAAATTTGTATGTTTTATGTTCTGATTTGTGTATAATATTTTCATTCCTTATTATTTCTATAATTTATGTTATTGTATAAACATGGAATTTGATGTTTCTGTCCTGGCTGTATTTATGTACGGTTGAATATAGGTAAACATATTATGGGGCAAGGAACAGTGGCCCAGACTATAACCCTGTGTTTTATGCCTTATTCTTCTAATTTTGGAAGTTTATAAGCAAAAAAATAATCCTGACCATAGAGAAATAAATTGGCAGTGGTTTAGACCCTTACTTCTATGCTTTTGGAAACTAATATTTGCTGGTCAGTCTTTTGTCACACTTCTAGAAAGAAAAGTTTCATTCACTGAATTAGTAAGTTAAGCTAAAAGCACAGCATCAGTAAAGTTAATAACAGCTAGTTGGGGTTTACTAATTTCACTGATTGCGATTCCTGTCTTCGAACAGTTGTTCACTGCACCATTAAATCATCTCTCATAATTATTTATTAAGAGTTATTGCCCTTGATTTTGAAATGGAAAGATAACTCATTAGATGTTTGTTGCTTTTATTTCCATCCTTACTGAAAATCTCACATTAAATTTTGAGTGTCTTTGCAGACATTATTCTCATAGTCATGTTATTTTAGACAAGGGCAGTAACTCTGGGATTCCCTAGCTGTAAAATTGCTTATTTAAACCGGTTATGGCTAACAACCTTTGATAAAAAACGTGTGAAAATTGCCCATGATCCCTAATGTGTATCTCTCGTGTGATATTTCATTCCATACATAGATTGCTTACTTATTTCTAATTTACACATTTGATTTTGTAAACTATTTCTCGATGAATGCCTTATGATACGTGAAATTCAAAATGTTTTTAAGTTTATTTTGTTGACCTATATTCTAAGGTTACAAAATATATATATATACCAACTTTCTTTGTTAACGTTAAGTGGAAGTACAATTTAAGGAAAATTAGACTTGTTTTAATACAACTCAGTTGTATTTTTGTTGTACAATCTTTGTTTTGGGAATTTATATGTTGTTTTGTGTGGCTGTTGATGCACATTTGAATGCTAATGCTTTTAAAGTGGCTAGGGTTTTTTTTGTCTTTTTGAAAGTGAACAAAATATTGAAAATTTGTCTGAAGTCACTAACACTGTTCTGTGTAGAAAAATGTCTTCAATTAGGTTTAATTATGTGTTTTTAAGAATTGTATGTTATATAGAAGAGAATATAGATTTCCTTAATATTATTGGAATGAAGGAATCTTCAAGTTATAATATTTCTGCCAACAGTTTTCAGGGCATTAAGTTGAATGGGAATCATATAAATCATTCTGTACAGATCATAAAGAAATATACTATAAATAATATAATTGAAATAAAGTATATCTACACTACCTGGTAGTTTTATTGTTATTTGGTTTTAGTCAATGGCCCCTTCCACGGGAGAAAAAATATGGAAAATTTATTCTACTTTCACTGCCAAAATCGCATTCCTTGATGAGAAAATTTTTACAGGGGGACCCCACACCACTGCTAGTATCCTTTAAATTCAAAAAGAGGTGGGGATGACTTACCATGGTGCTCTGCTCTACTGGCATTGAAACTTTTCTAGGAGTGTAAATAGTAGACTAACATAAGTTTCTTTTCATGCCAAAAATGAGCTGGTAAATTTACAGTTTTCGACTAACATTGTTGAAGTTTATAATATAATGATCACTTTTAATATTTTTCTGACGATTTCCTTGGTATTGCCTTTGCACCTAAATGACCAGGGTTTGTCATGGAGTATATCAAATCTGTCATGAAGGTCATTTAGTCCTTAAAAAATGGTTATCCAGTCTTTCATGGGGATCTCCAGTCAGTCAAAGATAGCTTGCCAGATATTGCATTTATTACATTTGTGTTTTGAATTAGAAATTCTACATAGCAGTAGGTTTCTTCCGCTTTCCCCCTATAAAGAAAGGTAATATACGCCCACTGGCAGCTTTGATTTTGAATAAAAATATTTGGCAGTACAGTTACAATCACCAGTAAGAAATATTAAACCTCCAGTCATACACTTCTTTTGATCTTTTTAGGGAGATAATGAACAATAAAACCAAAATTTGGCAAGAATCGTGCCTTCTAGAGTTTACAAGCTAAAAATTGAACGCTCTCTCAAATACAAGGGCAATAACTCCTTTAGTAAATATTTGTCAAGAATTGGGCCTTCTAGAGTGTTTACAGGCTAAAACTTATAGGCGTTTTCAAGAACAAGGGCAATAACTCATACTAAATATTCTTCGCTTCTTCTGATTTTCAATAATTTCATCCTTGGGTGATTATGATCACTCGCATCAAGTTTTGTCGAAATCTGTCAAGAATTGTGTGTTTACGAGCAATTGCGATTGGACGGACGGACATGGGTGACGTTTCATGTGGGCGTATAAAATAATACCCAGACTATTATGATGGATACCAAGACGTTTATGAAGGATATCCAGTCTGTTAGAAAGTATATCCAGTCTGTCGAAAGGAATATGCAGTCTTTTGTTCGATACATTTTGTCCAAAGAGTACCTAGTCCATCATAGATGATATCCAGTATGTCATGAAGGATAACCAGTATGTCATGAAGGATATCGAGTCAGTCATAAAGGATATCGAGTCAGTCATAAAGGATATCGAGTCAGTCATAAAGGATATCAAATCTGTCATAAAGGATATCAAATCTGTCATAAAGGATATCCAGTCTGTTGTAAAGGATATCCAGTCCTGTTTGAGGCACGTGAAGAAAGCTAATATGTCAGTAGAGGAAAAAGTAGTATAACTCGAATTTAAACTTGTTATAGCAAGGTTAAGCCCCACCCATTCAATTATACACAAAATTGAAGGGTATTTTCGATATTTTCTTACAAAAGTTTTCAGTTACTCTTTAAAATCTTTATTTCAAAATGTACATAACAAAATTAACATTTTAACAATAAAAGAACTGATAATTCGTGTAAAAACACGAGAGTAAAAAAGAAACTGGAACTTGTTCGTCTACATTCAACATGAAATAAACGATCCAAGGAGCCTGATTGAGTATGAACATCGGATTAATCTTTCCGCCTACAATCAACAGATTATAGATCAGTAGAATATTACGATCTTGTATGATCAGAATTACTTATCGCAAATGATCAGCAGAACTTCTTGTAAGATCAGACTTACCATATTACGATCAAGCTAATATCAGACTTGCAGCCTATGATCATCAATCTCCAATCAACAGATTATAGATCAGTAGAATATTACAATCTTGTATGATCAGAATTACTTATCGCAAATGATCAGCAGAACTTCTTGTAAGATCAGACTTACCATATTACGATCAAGCTAATATCAGACTTGCAGCCTATGATCATCAATCTCCAATCAACAGATTATAGATCAGTAGAATATTACAATCTTGTATGATCAGAATTACTTATCGCAAATGATCAGCAGAACTTCTTGTAAGATCAGACTTACCATATTACGATCAAGCTAATATCAGACTTGCAGCCTATGATCAATCTCCAATCAACAGATTATAGATCAGTAGAATATTACAATCTTGTATGATCAGAATTACTTATCGCAAATGATCAGCAGAACTTCTTGTAAGATCAGACTTACCATATTACGATCAAGCTAATATCAGACTTGCAGCCTATGATCAATCTCCAATCAACAGATTATAGATCAGTAGAATATTACAATCTTGTATGATCAGAATTACTTATCGCAAATGATCAGCAGAACTTCTTGTAAGATCAGACTTACCATATTACGATCAAGCTAATATCAGACTTGCAGCATATGATCAATCTCCAATCAACAGATTATAGATCAGTAGAATATTACAATCTTGTATGATCAGAATTACTTATCGCAAATGATCAGCAGAACTTCTTGTAAGATCAGACTTACCATATTACGATCAAGCTAGTATAAGACTTGCAGCCTATGATCAATCTCCAATCAACAGATTATAGATCAGTAGAATATTACAATCTTGTATGATCAGAATTACTTATCGCAAATGATCAGCAGAACTTCTTGTAAGATCAGACTTACCATATTACGATCAAGCTAATATCAGACTTGCAGCCTATGATCAATCTCCAATCAACAGATTATAGATCAGTAGAATATTACAATCTTGTATGATCAGAATTACTTATCGCAAATGATCAGCAGAACTTCTTGTAAGATCAGACTTACCATATTACGATCAAGCTAATATCAGACTTGCAGCATATGATCAATCTCCAATCAACAGATTATAGATCAGTAGAATATTACAATCTTGTATGATCAGAATTACTTATCGCAAATGATCAGCAGAACTTCTTGTAAGATCAGACTTACCATATTACGATCAAGCTAGTATAAGACTTGCAGCCTATGATCAATCTCCAATCAACAGATTATAGATCAGTAGAATATTACAATCTTGTATGATCAGAATTACTTATCGCAAATGATCAGCAGAACTTCTTGTAAGATCAGACTTACCATATTACGATCAAGCTAATATCAGACTTGCAGCCTATGATCAATCTCCAATCAACAGATTATAGATCAGTAGAATATTACAATCTTGTATGATCAGAATTACTTATCGCAAATGATCAGCAGAACTTCTTGTAAGATCAGACTTACCATATTACGATCAAGCTAATATCAGACTTGCAGCATATGATCAGACTTGCAGACTTGCAGCCTATGATCAGATTTGCCGCATGAGATCAAACTCAATTTACTCAATTAAACTACCAGAGCTAGTTCATCAGCTTACAATTAAACCACCAAAGCTAGTCTGTCAGTTTACCATTAAACCACTAGAGCTAGTCCGTCAGTTTACCATTAAACCACTAGAGCTAGTCCGTCAGTTTACCATTTAACCACCAGAGCTAGTCCGTCAGTTTACAATTAAACCACCAGAGCTAGCCGTCAGTTTACCATTAAAACACCAGAGCTAGTCTGTCAGTTTACAATTAAACCACCAGAGCTAGTCCGTCAGTTTACCATTAAAACACCAGAGCTAGTCTGTCAGTTTACCATTAAACCACCAAAGCTAGTCCGTCAGTTTATCATTAAACCACCAGAGCTAGTCCGTCAGTTTACCATTAAAACACCAGAGCTAGTCTGTCAGTTTACAATTAAACCACCAGAGCTAGTCTGTCAGTTTACCATTAAACCACCAAAGCTAGTCCGTCAGTTTATCATTAAACCACCAGAGCTAGTCCGTCAGTTTACCATTAAAACACCAGAGCTAGTCTGTCAGTTTACAATGAAACACCAGAGCTAGTCTATCAGTTTACAATTAAACCACCAGAGCTAGTCCATCAGTTTATAATAAAAACACCAGAGCTAGTCTGTCAGTTTACAATTAAACCACCAGAGCTAGTCTGTCAGTTTACAATTAAAACACCAGAGCTAGTCCGTCAGTTTACAATTAAACTACTAGAGCTAGTCTGTCAGTTTACAATTAAACCACCAGAGCTAGTCCGTCAGTTTACAATTAAACCACCAGAGCTAGTCCATCAGTTTACAAAAAAAACAACAGAGCTAGTAAGTCAGTTTACAATTAAAACAACAGAGCTAGTCTATCAGTTTACAATTACAACACCAGAGCTAGTCCATCAGTTTATAATAAAAACACCAAAGCTAGTCTGTCAGTTTACAATTAAAACACCAGAGCTTGTCTGTCAGTTTACAATTAAAACACCAGAGCTAGTCTATCAGTTTACAATTAAACCACCAAAGCTAGTCTGTCAGTTTACAATTAAACCACCAAAGCTAGTCTGTCAGTTTACAATTAAACCACCAAAGCTAGTCTGTCAGTTTACAATTAAACCACCAAAGCTAGTCCGTCAGTGTAAAAGCAGAGCTTGCCAGTTATTACTAAAATTGACAAATTCTTGTGATAACTGTCAAGCTCTTTTAATTTCAATGAAAATGTAGTGGCTTACATATGAGGATTTTTTTTTTTTTTTTATATAAAATATTACACATTATGTCATATAAAAGCCATTGCATTAACTACATTTTTTCTAATAAAATAATATATACAATATACATAACAATAGAATATATAATAAATAGAACAATAAATGGAAAGTATCAAAGTTTAGGAACTTCTATCTTTATAAACTGTATAAATGATAGTCATAAAGACAACTATTATAACATTTTAATTATAATATGTGTTACTTTAATTCTTATTTCTATTGGAGGGTTTTTTTGGTATTCAGAAGAAAGAAAAGAAGAAATAAAGAACATTTACAAAGGTTATAAATATAAGGGATGTTTGCTGCCCTAATAATCACAATTTACGTATAGATATAAATAACATCTTAGCACTAACATTCTACAGAAAAATATAACCCAATATTTTACAAGTCAACTTCATAATAATAATATGGTGGTTTTATACATATTGCTAATGGGGGTTCTTTCCTTCTTTAGTTAATAACCTCTTGGTAAGATCTATATACATTTGAAGTTGGGTGACTGGAATAATAAGAAGACTACAGAGAGAAATGGAAGGTTTAGTGAAGATTTTAGAAACAAGCTGAAAGTTAGTTAGTTGAAAAATCAAAGCTAATGGAGGAGGGAAAAGAACATAAATTTTACATAAAAAACCTATAGAAAGTCAGCTGCCAAGATCAATGCCAAAAGGATACACTTAAAAAAAGGAGGGAGAAAAATTGATGTTAATTTTTAACTCAAGAAAACTACTTGTGATCCCTGGATGGGAGTTCTACAAATAGGACAGGGTTGGTTTTTGAAGTTAGGTAGACAATTATGACAGCAACAGAGATGACGGCATGGTTCAAACACCACAGCTCTATCTTCTTCTAGACAAAATAAACAGATTTTATTCGAGTCACTTCGTCTTTCTCCTTCACCTGAAATATATAGAAGCATATGCGATTTCAATAACATTCAAGAAATCTGAAATAGATTTCAGTTTTAATAAGGCAATTTACTGGATATTATCATACTTCTGTGTATTGTTTTACAGGGTTTATGTTTTATATAACAAAGCTGATACTAAAATCGTACCCAAGCCTTATTTTTAGATGAAAGGGAGATAACCTATCCTTGATCCAGGGACTGGCTACATAACATATACAATTTAAGAAATTCCAAATAGATTTCAGTTTTAATATGGACAATTTACTGGATATTATCATACTATTGTAAAATTGTGCATGTCTATGAGCAAAATCGTTACTAATGTGGTTTCACTATGAGCTGCATCAAGAACCCAGTTACTGGTGACTTGAGGAAGCTCTTGGAGGAAAATTCCCTGCCAAGCTCATTCCTTGACCCTATAACTCATTAATTGCTACATTTATATTGTATAACCTATAACTCTATGCATTAGGAAACATGTAAGGGAAAGATATGTAATGAAACTAAGCTGGTTATTCATCAAATTAGGAAAAGTTGGGTTTGTTAAAGATTAAACTATTAGATTATTTGGTGTTTCTAATGAATTATCATGTATTCTTGATCATATCATTATGTTCTTATTGCATATAATTAAGAGTTTTAACCAAGCATAAATGTCCATTTATGTACATTCCGGATAAACAAATAAAGACTTTTTGACCTTTCTCACTCATTGGAATTCTTCTGGTAATTCTCTTCTAAATTAGTTAATTATGAATTGATTATGGACATGTGAGACAAACTGGTATTTTTCCAAGTCATTAGAACACCTCAACCTTTTCTAAAGTAAGAACTTACCTTGTGTCTTCAATCTTGAGCATTCACTAGTTAATACAGATATCTCTCTTTCACATTTCCTAATCGCATTTTCAATCTCTTGTTTCTGGAGCTCTATATCTTGTGCTAGAGTTCTATAATTATTTCTCTCTTGAACAAGGGTTGCTTCCCTTTCTTCATGCCTGGATACAGCTGTTTGTAGTCTTGAATTCAAGTCTTCTAATTGTCCATACTGTTGATCTATCATTGAGTCTTTTTCTTCCAGTTGATTGCGTAATTGTTGTCTTGTACAATGAAGAACAAGATTCTGACGATTTTTCTGACTTAATTGCTGCCCTTGCTGATGGATTTGCTGCTTGTGCTGATGGAGTTGTTGATCTTTATGAGTGATTTGCTGCTTGTGCTGATGGAGTTGTTGTTCTTTCTCCTTTATTTCCTGGTTATGTACCTGGTTAATAGTAGCTACAGTAGACTTGATCTGTTGGTCTTTGGCTGTCATGACATGTTCTATTTGATCTAATTGTTTATCTTTTTTCTCAATTACCTCCCCTTGTAAATCAATGACGTCTTCCTTCTTCTTCAATTCTCCGTCTGCTAAAACTGCTGCCTTTAACATGGGAATATTGGGATATCGACCACCTGGAATATGCAAAAGAGAAATTTTCAAAAGTTTGGAATTTTATTTAGATAGAGAAAATTAAAAAAAATTTGAAACCCAATAAGTGGACAGAGAGCAATGTGAAGCAAAACCTTCTCAACTCTTAAAACAATAACAGCCACTCTACCAACTACATATATAAATAATAGTAGACTGTGAAACAGGAGTGACAGTGATCAAGTAATGTCATAGAATATGTTCATGGAATATGGCATTTTGTTTCCTGAGAGCATTAATTTGCAACATTCCGATTTTCAGACAGACATCTACAGTTTTTGCAATTCAACTAAAATTAGTTATTTTATGATGTCAATATCACAAATGTCCTTAGATATTATGATTTATAGTGGAATTGCCAGAACTGCAGACATCTGACTGAAAGTATCTAAAATAAGATAACAAAAAAAGTTTAGAGAACCACTTAACAATTCCTTTATGCTGTCAGACAATCTCTAGTCAATTAGGAAATTATTGAAAATCAAGTATAACCTGATCAAGATTGAAGATTTTTATTATCAACAGACAACCTAAGATGATCTATAGAAAATTAGAAAGTTTGTAGGGAAAACAAATATATCCTGATGAGGATTGAAGTTTATCAATGGACATCCTATGATAATCTCTAGTCAATGATGTTAAAGTGAGTGATAGATACTCACAAGTTATATTAAAGAGTTTTTCTACAAGACGGAATAACACTTGTGTTGAATACCCACATGATGTATAGGCTGTCAGTAAATCTCGAGATAAAGTTGGAGGGTAGGTACTACTAGGTACTACCAGGTTACCAATCTTACACACTGGTTCTGAAATATATAAATATAAATATTCAAACCAAACTCAATGAACCAATTATCCAATATCATTCTCTCTTCTACTTTCTATTTTTTTATTTATCTTTGAGACAATAAGTTCATCAGACCATTCAACCCATACACGGTATCAGTCTTATATATTTCCATTAAATTCTGAATAAAACTAAAATCTCCAAAAGTTATGAATGTTAATCAAAAAAGTGTTCAAATCATTCATTCAAGAGCACGTGCCAATTACAAACAAAATTGCGCCCTATTTTACTTTCACAATTACTTTTGTAAGAAGAAATACTTGGAAATGAAAAAATATTGTCTTGCTAATATTCAGTTATCATGTTAATTGGATATGTAATAAACCATTAAATACAATAAAACGATGTTTGTAGTAAATCATTGAATCCAATCAAATATATGTTACATAGTAAATTATTTAATACATTTAAAGGTATGTTTGTAGTAAATTATTTAATACATTTAAAGGTATGTTTGTAGTAAATTATTTAATACATTTAAAGGTATGTTTGTAGTAAATTATTTAATACATTTAAAGGTATGTTTGTAGTAAATTATTTAATACATTTAAAGGTATGTTTGTAGTAAATTATTTAATACATTTAAAGGTATGTTTGTAGTAAATCATTTAATACATTTAAAGGTATGTTTGTAGTAAATCATTTAATACATTTAAAGGTATGTTTGTAGTAAATCATTTAATACATTTAAAGGTATGTTTGTAGTAAATCATTTAATACATTTAAAAGTATGTTTGTAGTAAATCATTTAATACATTTAATTGAATGTTTGTAATTAAAGTAAAATCAAACTAACCTGTAACTGAAGGATCCAATTGAACCAGTTTCTGAAGAAAAAAACAACAACATTAATTTATTTAGCCATGACTGTAGTTTTGAAATATATTTTCATCTAATTCTTTTTTTTACCAATAGATGGTTCTTACCTTTAGTTACCTGTAACATTTGACATAGTTACACTGTTCAGAATTACATTAATGCTTTTATTGGTATATATATTAATACAATACCATTGCATAGTAAATAGGATGAAATGAGAAGCCATTTTCACTAACGTCTTAAAATTCAACAATCACCGTTTGTTGCCTGATTAACAATCAAAAATAGGTATTTTTATTCAGTAAAATTTCTTAGAATTAATACTTACAAGAATAGACCTTAATTCCTCCTGATTATATTCCATTTTTTATTGTTTTCGTCAGTTTTGCACTTATAAAATTGAAGGTTAACCCAGGAACCAGGAAATTATATCCAATATTCATTAAACGTTTCAATATTAGTGTATATCACTCATAGTGATTTAACAACACTTACCTTTATTTTAGACATTACTCTGATATATTCCTGACCCTGTTCATGTAGAATAAACTGACAAGTAGGTGAAACTAAAGCATGTTGCTGCCAGGAATCAGCCTTTCTCTTCCAATCTAATATAGCTACCCCACAACAAAAACATACCACTTTGGTGAATACACCTGAAATACAGTAACAGTTAGTCAAAGTAGTCAGTGAATTCTATTTGACTATATCCATACTTACTCCTTTTACTTATAAGAATAACTATTTGAGCTCATTAGGTCAAATTCAAAACTGTTTTTTTTCCCATCTTATTAAAGATGGGTTCCCTTACTTTTATTTACGAAAATCAAAATGCTAATACCGGTACTTATATGGATAGAAAGCAGATATGTTTCAATGACATGAAAATGTACCAATCTGTCTCACATGTCCATAATATATTCATACCGTAAATAGTTAAATTAGAATAGAATTACCAGCAAAATTCTAATGAGTGACCGATCAAGAAGGGTCAAAAAATCTTTTTTTTTGTTTATCAGACTGTTCATACTTGGACATTTTTGATTGGTTGAATTATATGCAATAAGAACATGATGTTATGATTAAGAATACATGATAATTCATAAGAAACATCGATTAATCAAATAGTTTGCTTAATTTGACACTAAAAAATTAGGAAACCCATCTTTAAAGGCTTCTCTCTGATAAGAAATTAGAAGGGTGCAAATTGATGCTATGTGTGTCCCTGGTACACATAAAAAATTCAGAAAACCACTTTACAATCCCTATTGGGATTATAAATTTATAATTGTTCTATAAAACTGGTCTTGACTTTCAGTGTAGTGGAATTCAAGCCTCTATGGGTATATTTCCTGTTCTTTCTCTTGCCATTATGGGGTTGGCAATATGCTTGCATAATGCAGACAATAACAGTCAAACTAGTTATCAAAGCTGGGGTACAAATCAGCAAGTTTCAGCCTATAAGGTTGAATAAAATTTTACAGTTATCCTATAAGCTTACTTACCACTGTAGAAAAACCCTGCCTCAGCTAATTGATCTTTATTTGGTTTATACTGTTCAGGCCAGTATTGAAATGATTCCAAACGTTTTTCAACTGAATTGTATTGTGGATGAAACATAGGATAGGCATTACGTTCACTCAGTATAACACTGTTC